GGGAAGCAGGGAAGATCTGGCTGCATCAGAGAGGCTACGTCGACAGGGTGCAGAGGCGTTTTCTGCCAGAAGGACCTCCTCAGCGAGTTCCGAAGACACCAATTTCGGTCGACGCCTTCAAGGTGCTGACATTTGATGATGAGAAGTTGCAGGCGCGCACAGAAGAAGAGTATCGGCAGAGGGTCGGCTCTCTGCAGTTTGCTGCCTGCACTACTCGCCCCGACATCTCCTTCGCCTGCAGCAAACTTGCGTCTGGTCAAACGGTTCGAAGCGACCAGCATTGGAGGGAGCTCGACCGCTGCATTGCGTACCTTGTTGGGACGCGCGATGTTGCTCTCAAGTTCGGCGGCGGAAATGGAGAGATGCGTCTCGTCGGCTTCGCAGATGCAGACGATGCAAGAGACAAGCAGAATCGCAGCAGCACGGGTGGCTACATTTTCACTCTCGGTGGAGCTGCTATTTCATGGGCAAGTCAGAGGATCAGGTGCATCACTCACTCTTCTACAGAGTCGGAGTACATCGCTGCAGTGGAGGCTGGAAAGGAGGCTCGAAAGCTTCGTTTTTTGATGGCAAAATTTCGCATACTCGACGAGACGTCACCAACGATTATCCACGTCGACAATCAATCTGCGATTTCTGTGTCTGTAGGAATGGGGCTCAAGGGAAAGCTGAAGCACATGGAGCGGCGCTACATGTGGCTGCAGAGCATGGTGAAACGTCGCAAGATGAAGCTACAGTACATTCCGACGACCGAGCAGCCGGCAGATTACTTGACGAAAGCACTACATTTCCCTGCGTTCAACAACTGCTTTAAGAAAGTTGGTCAAGTAAGGCTTTCGGCGAAGGGGAGCAGTGCAGAGGGTCCTCTCGACGTGGAATAGGTGCCATGATCTTTTCATGGCTGGTGCGGTGATGGTGTGTGCGAATTGCAGATTTCTGCAATTCTTGAATGTTTCTTTTCTGCATGTTTTCTTTCTTTATTTATTTCTGTTCTGCTCTTGTGTGTGGTGTAGATGGGTCAATTTCCTCTGCGACGACCAGCATGATCAGTGCAGGGGAGTGTTGAGATTGCACTGACCCTGCAGAGGGTCGTCGTGTTTTGCAGGGACGCGAAAGTCTCCCGAAGCGGAAATTTGCAGAGGACAGGGTGGAGCTCTGCACTGCAGCAGCAGGACTTCGCAGAAGCGGAAATCTGCAGAGGATCGTGGTGCTGCAGAGGAGGGCGAATCTGCAGAGCAGATTTCGGAGCTGCAGAAGAAGGCGCATCTGCAGAGATTTCGGAGCTGCAGAAGAAGGCGCGTCTGCAGAAACAAAATTCTGCAGAAGACCACAATCTCGATCGGCGAACCCTTCCGACGCGAAAACGCGATCGTTTCGGAACTTTTGCGTGGGAATTTCGGAACATTGCGGACATTGAGAAATTGACCCCGGGGAACAGTGCGCGGAACTAGGGTGTTCAATCTGGGGCGAAATTGAACCACCTGCACAGAATGAACCTGGCGCACGTTTTCGTAACTACGAAAACGTGCGTTACAGAAGTTGTTTAAAACAACCTGAACAGCTAAAACAACTACTTTTGGGTAGGTCAAAATTACCTACTAAGCACATGTTGTAATTTTCACCTGCCGACGCTGAGTTGGCAAAGCGCAGCTAAAAGTAGTTATGTAAACGTTCTTGGGCGAACGTTCTCTGCATGGTTCATTGGTTGGGTAGCTTCTATTTCACCCCTTGTTGTATTCTATCTTTTAACTATTCTAGTGAATTTTCTGTGTGTGCCAAATCTATGCCTTCAAGGACTTGGACAAATTTCTGTCTCCTTAGTGAACCACCAATATCGTGTCTACGCAGAAAGCATTCCGTAGAGCTCGTTCATCCGTTAGAGCAGAAATCTCTTCATTTTCCTCTCAACAAAGCGCAGGAAACAACCACCGCCGTATAATACCAACAACTATTTATTATGCAGCTGCCCGTCTTCCCGCACCAAGTTCACATTTAAGTCGTCTCAGAAGGCGCAAAGGCCAATCCGACCTTCCATTCCATCGTGTACTTGCCCTCTTCCCACACCAACTCGCAGCATCTCACCTGGTGCATTTCCTATTTCCTGCTCGCCCATGCCTCCTCTCTCTCCCTGCTATTTAGACAACTTTTTTCACCCCTCGTCTCCCCTCCCGTCACCTGCCCCTCGGCATTGCACCTGGTGCATCTGCTGCTCTCCCACGCCTCTCCCTACCCCAGTGTGTGGCCGTCTACCTGCACGTGATCGCATACAATGCAGCAGCCATCTGTTTTTATTGATCGCTGCGATTCTGCTGTCACCGCCGCCTCCCATGCTTCTGATATCTTGAGGGGGGCGGTCATGTCGCGCTGCTTTTTGCGAGTTACGTCAATGGCTGGTTGCCACTCAATTCCAGGTTTTGTTTTCTGGGTGTGCTGGATGTTGTGGTTTTGTTCTTTTGCTTGCTTGCTGTGAGTGCACCGTGTGTTAACCCACACTTACATGTAACATATGGGTGCACACAGACAAACGCGCCCTCTGGCCTATCCGCTAACACATCCTCTCAGGCACACTTCCCGACAATTTGTTGACAATTGTTTCAAAAGTGCCATACATAGATGATGTGTCTACCCGATTTTCCACTGCTTGTTTCGCTTCCTTGCCTTCCCACTCCGTTCTTCACCTCAGGTCCCAGATGCAAGGGCCAACTCTCCAGCTACTGTAACCTGCAGTCGCAACAACTTCTACTACAGTGTCTACTCACATGTCCCTAGTATGCATTCGTCCGCCTTCTTCTCTTTTCCGAGATTTTATGCACTCTACATGGATTTGCAAGTGTTTGGAGTTTTTCGGATCAACTTTCCTTGCTAGAGATGCATCTAGGTTTGCTTAATTTGTTTTGTGGACTGTATATACTGTATGGTCATTTTATTTTACTGATTTCTTTTCTACATCCAAACCGGGTCGGTTCGTAAGGATGCAGATTCCTTGTGGTCCAAGTTGTCAAGTCAAGGGAATGCCAGCAGGACGACGCACGGCCAATCGGGAATGCGGCCGCCAAGTACATGCCGCTGTGTGAATGGCCAGCTCCTCCCGAACCAGGTGTGCTGGCCCGTTTTGTTCGGGTCAACTATCTGTGGAGGGGTCCGCGCAGGCAACCTTGCACTGCTGTCAGCAAGGCTGGCAGTTACGAGCAGTGATGAAAAGTCAAACACTTTCTTGACTGACCCACTGCCTGCGATTGGTGGATCGTAAACTGGTCGGTAAACGCTTCGCGCATCCTGCATGTTTGTGAATCGAGAATGCCTCCATCCTCCTCTTCGCGCTTCCTGCATGTTTGAGAATGCCCATCGCCAGGCATAAAGGGCCTCTCATCATCTTCACCTTTCTGGTTGTGTCATTTGGCTTACATATTTCCCATAATCACCACCACACTCTATCTCCTTGCTACGAACTCCTCATTTTTTTATTACAACTAGGGTTACGGAGTGTAATAAGGGATCCTGCGCACCTGATACTGCTAGAGAATACAACCGCAATGGCTAATTCATTTTCCGGGCAGCTTTTCGGCTCCACCGGAATGGCCCTGCTGCTTGTGGCCACTTTGCTCGCCCAGCTATCCACGACCACCCGCGCAATTCCCGTGACCGATTTGAAATTACCCTACCAGCCATACGATAATCATTTCAGACTCATGAAGCATTTTTTCGAGCTGGACGGTACTACAGACATCTCCAACGTGACGATACTCCTCCCATCGCTCGACGCCTTGTACACCGCGTCTGAGAACTACCCCAAGCATGATAACGCCACGCGCAAATTCAACCAGGCGATCGCCGATGCGCTCACGCTCATGTACTAAGGGGGCATGTACGGGGATAGTAAGTGGGTCGTTGGGACGAACATCTCCACTGCGGTTGCGAAAGCGATGCTGGACATCTGGAAGTTTCACATTGTGAAGCAGTACATCCCGCTCGAAGTCGCGAAGCAGAAGGTACGTCTATCATGACTGGACCGCAGTGGAACGCTGTGGGCCACTGTGAACCGCAGTAGACCGCAGTGGACCTGCAGTGTATGTTCACGCATCTGGAGGTTTCAGATTGTGAAGCAGTACATCCCGTTCGAAGTCGCGAAGCAGAAGGTGATAATCTGAACCGCCGTACATCATGCCTGGACCGGAGTGGGCCGAAATGGACTGCAGTGGACCGCATTGAACATGTTTACGCATCTGGAAGAACGGGAGTGCAGTAATCCGGGCGAATCAAGCTTCCCAACAAGGCCTGTAAAGTAGAAAATGGAGTCACTCCGTTTTGGAATGACTGTTATGTAGGAAATGACAGTGGTCCTCGTATTTGAGAGCCTGAGAACGGATCCCACCGCGACATCCCATCCCACCGTACCGTAGTCACGTTTTCTTTTCAGATGACTCGTTATTCAACCGTCTCGCCCTCCCCGCCGCTCTATACCCCCTATTGCCAGTACTCATCTATCGGCGGATATTGGGAGCTCCCAACAATGCAGGGACAGCCTCTCTGGATGTCGTACGATCCGGTGCATCGCGGCATGTGGAACTTCTCGGGCATGTCTCCTCAGCAAAAGGCCAGCTCGCAGCTTCCGAGAAGCAAGATCATCAACGAATACGGCTATGTGGTGAATGATGGAACCCCGTATGCAACCTCTTCGGTGGAAGAAGTACGTGTGGTGGATGATTTTCCCAGCAGCGAGGTCGTGGTCTACCAGAGCCATCATGTTCTTATGCCTTATAACGTGGATGCTCTTGGCGCGTATGCCGGTACGTACACATGCACAGTGCACGTACTCACACACATGCACGCGCGCGCGCACACACACGCACACGCAGTGCACACACACACACAGACACACACACACACACTCACACACACTTGCACGCACACACACACATGCGCTTGCATGCACGCACGATGCATCTAAGTAATCCAAACAATCTAGACGTATTCCTCTTACATAGTGCCACTTGATAACTCTAAGATCCCCCTCCTTGGTTCTTCCATTCTCCTGCAGGAGCCACTGCCTCCATCTTCCACCTGCTTGCCTCCATTGGCCTGGCTCTCACTGCATTACTCCTGCTGTAACCGCACTCCTGCCGCTGTAGCTGCACTCCTGCTGTGACCGCACTCCTGCTGCTGTAACCGCACTCCTGCCGCTGTAGCCGCACTCCTGCCCGCACTCCTGCTGCTTTAATCGCCGCGCTCCTGCTGTTGTAACCGGCACACTTTTGCTGCTGTAACCGCTGCACTCTTGTTTCACAGCAACGTGTTGTTAGCGAGATCAGCAAATTGAATGGTAGATGTGCCAAACCATAGACCCATCAGGTGCTGTCCGCAGGGCTTCACTTGCTCGCACGGCTTGGTGTCGCAGGGGAAGCCATTGCTTTGGCAGCTTGCAATGCAATGCTTGTTGCCAATTCCATCCCATCTTATCTCGTCTCACATCCAGCCTTTCAGTATTTCCCTCTCTACACAAAAGTGGTTCTGCAATGGCCTCCCTGGAAGCCCGGCATTGTGAAACATACACCGGAACTTAAAAGTACATGCTTTCCAATGCAGGAAACAATCACCAGCATATGATACCAACAACTATCCATAATGCAATGGCAATAGGCAGGTACTGTCACGCCTGCCACAGCACTATACCCCTGTGTTTGCTTGCTCCTCCACTGGAAGAACATCCAAGCCACCACCTAATGCCGCTCCGCAAACCTCTCAACCAAACCCCACCCCACATACACACCTCTCAACTCAACCGAACCCTGCCCTCACACCTGCCAACCTGCTGTAAAGCTTTAAAGCTCGTGCAGGAAGTCCGAACACCTCATATAATCTCCAATCTACACCAGGCCTAGGAGGGCCATATTGCCCCGGACCTGCTGGCCCAGGCCCGGGGTACTGTTGGGGAGGGTAGGGTTGGGATGGAGGTCGGGAATACTGCTGCTGTGCACCTGGGGGAAAACCTGGGTACTGTTGTGGCCCACCTGAAGGGCCACCTGGGTACTGTTGTTGAGCACCTGGAGGGGCATCTGGATACTGTTGTTGGGCACCTGATGGACCACCTGGGTATGGGTGTTGGGGACCCTGCTGTGGTGCATACTGGGATGGGGGCGGCATGTATGGCTGTTGCTGATACTGATGCTGCTGCTGCTGCTGCTGCTGAAATTGTTGCGGCTGCTGATAGTGTTGCTGCTGCTGGTATCCCATGGGAGGAGGAGGGTACAATCCCGGGTGACCCCCCTGCTGCTGCTGATAGGCCCCTGGGTGAACGGGAGGGGCACCTGGGGGAGGCATACCTGGGGCAGGCTGGTAGAGCTGGGGATGGTGGGGGGCAGGATAGGGGGCGTGGCCAGGTGGAGGGTACGCATGAGGCGGGTATGGGTATGGTGGAGCAGCAGATGCAGCCGCAGGCGCATCACCACCGCCAGCAGCATTACCACGCCCTCCCCCTCCCCCTTCTCCGCCTCCTCCCCCTCCCCCTCCTCCTCCTTCCCCCTCCCTGTTGCGAGTGCGTGCCCCCATCCTCTCAGGGTTCATAGACGGATACATAGAAGCAGACGTCGCCGGACCTACCGCCGAACCTGCAGCAGCCCGAGGCAGCAACCCGAAGCTGCCACCAGCCGGACCCTCTCCCGAACCACTCCCCCCAGCCGCACCACCAGACCCCCCTCCGTCTCCCTCCTCTCCTCCCCCTCCCCCATCCCCCTCACCCGCTCCCCCTGCTCCCTTCTCTCCCCCTTCCAGCAGCCGCTTCCCTCCCCCATCCCCCCCTCCTCCTTCCAAAGCCTCTGCTTTGGGTCGCCCCCAGTCTAGCTTGAGCCTGATACCCTTGATAATAAGCTTGTTGGCGAGGCCCTCAGCCGCCTTCTCTGCCTCTTCGCGCGAGGAGAAGGTGATGAAGGCACAGCTGCGCGGGGTGATGAGACGAATGGACTCAACCTCCCCGAAGGCATAGAACTTGTCCCTGCCATGCACAGGCACATGGAGGGGGCAGGAGAGGAGGGAGAGAGTGTGGGGCAGGGGAGGGCACGAGGATTGGGAGTTGTAAGGGGACGGGTCAGAGGAGGGGTTAGAACCAAAGCCTCTAAATGATGAGCTTGTTGGCCAGCCCCTCTGCGGCCTTCTCGGCCTCTTCGCGCGAGGAGAAAGTGATGAAGGCACAGCTGCGCGGGGTGATGAGACGGATGGACTCGACTTCCCCAAACGCATAGAACTTGTCCCTGCCATGCACACGAACGAGGTGCGGCGAGGGGTAGAGTGACGAGGGGTAGAGTGACGCCAACAACAAAGAGTGTCTGACGCTCGCGTCCTCCGGTCGTGGCAGGTGAAATGCACACCACACAGTAGCACACCATACCCCAGCCCACTACAGCCTACCCCATCCCACCCCAGCCCACCCCAGCCCACACCACCTCACCGCACCGCACCACACCACTTACTTTAGGTCAGCCTCTGTGATGCGAGAATCGACGCCCCCAACGAACAGCGTCTTGATGCTCGTGTCCTCTGGTGCTTCCAGTGACGGCATTTCTGCTGCCAGCCGCATCATCTTCTTTGCCACTGGATCGTTCACTCTGCACGTGGGAGACAGCACAAGTGATGGGGGGCGGGAAGTGCGGGGACGAGCACACAGAAGGATTGGCAAGGGTGCGGGCGAGTGACGGCTTCTCCTCCGCAAGGCGAATCATCTTCTTTGCCACTGGGTCGTTCACTCTGCAATGGCAAAGGGAGAGAGGCGGAGAGAGGGGGGGGGGGAAGGGGGGGTGGGGAGCATGGGCAAGTGAGTCAGTGACAGCATTTCTGCTGCCAGCCGCATCATCTTCTTTGCCACTGGATCGTTCACTCTGCACGTGGGAGACAGCAGAAGTGATGGGGGGCGGGAAGTGCGGGGACGAGCACACAGAAAGATTGGCAAGGGTGCGGGCGAGTGACGGCTTCTCCTCCGCAAGGCAAATCATCTTCTTTGCCACTGGGTCGTTCACGCTGTAAGGGAAGGGGAGGGGGGAGGAAGGGGGGGAGGGGGGGAGCATGGGGAAGGGAGTCAGTCAGTTCCATCCCCCATCCCCCCCTCCCCCCCTCTTGCATCCTGGAGCCACAACGCCCCACCACCACACTTCACCACTAGTTCTATCCCCCACGTACCCATAGTAGCGATCTTTGAAGTTTTGGTGCGCCAATTCCCCCGTAATGGCCATCTCGTGGCGGTAAGGGCACTCCGCCCCCTTCAGAACCACAGTGCACCATCGCACTACACCGCACAACACCCCCCTCCACCTCTATCCCCCACATACCCATAGTAGCGGTCCTTGAAGTTCTGGTGCGCCAGTTCCCCCGTGATGGGCATCTCGTGGCGGTAGGGGCACTCCGCCCCGCGCGTGCACTCCCCGCGCACGAAGAAGGAGCAGATGTGCGCGCGGTTGCGCTTGTAGTAGGGCGTCGTGCGCTGCAGCTTCAACAGCAGGTCGTTCGGCGCGGCCTTGCCAAACGACGACTCGTAGTCTAGCCCTGCGCGACCCTGAGGGGGGACGAGCGACGGGAAGCAGGGTGGGGGGAAGGGAGGGAAGCGGGGGTTGTTGCTTCAAAGTCAAGGGGTGCGCGGTTGCGCTTGTAGTAGGGCGTCGTGCGCTGCAGCTTCAGCAGCAGGTCGTTCGGGGCAGCCTTCCCGCGCGACCCTAAGAGAGCGGGAAAGAGGGGGCGAGGAAGGGCGAGGGGAGGGGGGTGAGGAGGGGGAGAGAGAGGAGGTGTAAAAAGAAATGGCCGAGGAAATTCAGTTACGAGTCGGGAGGAGCGCGGGGGAGTTGCAGAGAGAAAAGGGGTGGAAGGTGTGGGGGGGGGGGGGGGGGGGAAAGAGGGGGAGAGGGGAAGAGAAGGAACAACAACAACGGTTTCCAAAGGGCAACGAAGAGGGCAGTGAGAGCAGCGGCCAGAGCAGAACGGGAGCAGCAGCAAGAGAGCAGATGATTTGCGGTTATCTTGCAGTCGTCCTCTCACCTTCTGGTCGTGCTCCTCCGCAAAGTACTCGCGGTTGACGTCGCTCTGCGGGATGGCGGGAGGTGACCGTTGAGTCGACCCAACAGCCAGCAGGCTACCTTACATCACAATCATCATCAGTGTTCCTCTCACCTTCCGGTCGTGCTCTTCAGCGAAGTACTCGCGGTTCACGTCGCTCTGCGGGATGGCGTCCGTGGTGTTGATGTTCAGCGCCGTGTCGCGCACCTGCACCGGCAACCCGTATTCCAAATCCAGCATGCACACCTGGAGGGGAGGGGAGGGGGGGGAGAGGAGTGAGGGGGGAGGGTGAGCGGGGTGGGGGATGCGGGATGGCGTCCGTGGTGTTAATGCTCAGCGCCGTGTCGCGCACCTGCACTGGCAGCCCGTACTCGAGGTCCAACATGCACACCTGGACGGTGAAGTTAGGGAAGGGGGAGAGGGGAGGTGAAGGGGGGGGGGAAGAGGGAGGGGAAGAAGGAGGAGGATGGGGGTTGGAGGGGGTGTGTGTCCCGCACCTGCACTGGCAGCCCGTACTCCAGACCCAAAGCCCGACTCAATTGCTCGTGGCACAGGAACCGAGGACGAACCTAGCGTGAATTATGGATCGACTCAAGGTCACGGAGCTGACATGGCAGATGGGGCGAATTCCAAATCCAGTCAGAAGTCAAATCAAATCAAATTAGATTGGATCAAATTCACGGTGCTGACCTGGCAGACGTTCTTGAGCTTGCAGCACGTCTGGCAGATCTCGGTCTTCTTGTAGCGCGCGTCGCGGCCGGGCCGCCATCGGAACACGGTGAAGGGGCGCGTACAGATCTTGCACTCCTTGTCGAAGCTCGCCTTGGTCTGACGAGGCACCACACGGGAAGACGACGAATTAGAACCAGCGACGAAATAGCCGCGAGTTCAAGGCAGCGAATTGAATGCAGAAAAGAAGGAGAGCGAACGAAACAGATAGGAAACGAGGAGATCCGTATCGAAGAGACTCTAGAAAGTAGAGGAGGCTGATCGGGAACGAATTGCAAGATAGTTACTTCTCTGGGGCTCCGGACTACGTCAACCTCCATAAAATACAGAAGGCTGATCGGCTGCCTCCTATAAATACCCCGTCTGGAGCTGTGTCCGCGGCAACCTCCATAAAGTAAGACTACTTAAAGAAAAACTCGACGACGAGAGAAATTCCTCCGAGCCTCACCATGCGAACGTAAGGGTTCGCTCCAAGGCAAGTCTCGCAGATGATCGGAAAATCGCTGCGCTCCCAGCCATCCGCGTCCTCGTCTCGTAACAACCGATGAGCCATGTCTCCTGGAAATAAACGTTAACCCTAGGAACTCTAACGCCGGTGGAATCGGGAAACCAGAAAATAGGGAACGAACGAGATAACCAGGCTACAGCTACTACGAAAATAGGGATGCTAACCTTGGAAGGAGGAGACTGCAGGCCAAGAAACGAAAGCTCAGGCAGTACGAAATTAGGGTTTTGAGGAAAAGGCTTGGAAGTATAGGAGAAACCAGGAAGTTTGCTTCGTTCCGTGATCTTGCTTGTGACGGCAACTGTACACTCCCACGACCAAGTGGATCTCATCTCATCTCGCGTATGGCGAATTTTGTGGATACTTCTCCTTTGTTGTACTGTAACTCTGTTCGATAAGTTTATGCGAACAGAATATCGAGTCATCTTATCGACGCAAAGCCTGACTCTGGGTTATGTCAGAACAACCTCGCAGCACGATCGTTCTCCGTTTCGATCAACCAACCAGTGGAACAACCTGCTGGTTCACCAGATCAGATGTTCAGCCAGATGTGCTACAGTGCTACAGCAAGCCGTACCCGAACAACTCCTCATGTCACCCACCCTAGCGAATGCGCTGGCTGTTGGCTTGCACCGCCGCAGGCTAGCGAAGTCGGCTGCAACCCAATGTATCTGTCGTTTGCCAGATTTCGGCTTGTTCTTGATAGGGATTGCACATTTCGCTACGACTGGTTACCATCGAGACGAGTCACCGTCAAGCAAGAAGCAGGCAGTTCGGCAGCGTGGGTTAAATGCCCGCGTCGCTTGTCACTGTAGAGCTTGCGCCTCGTTGACGACTCGCATCGCAGTCGAACGTCTCCACGTTGGGTGGTTCAAGATGCCTCGGGCTCTCCGCCGCTACTGTACCCCTCCACTCCCCACCGCAGCACGGTCTTTCTACAGTCCACCCGTCGAGCGGATCTGCCTTTCCGCCCACCTTCACGGGGGCACGAGAGGGGGAAAAGGGGCAAAGCAGTCTTGCCCTTCGACAACAGCACAGCACTAACCGCACAATTACTGGTCTTCTCCTCTCCTCCCAAACTCAAACCAGCAACACCCACCTCATTTTCACCAGCCACAACAACTATACAAGGTGGCACACGCGCACGGCACTTCTTTTTCCTGCACGTTAAGTTCCACGTAGAGAGTGTCCTGTGACCTGTCCACCATACCCTACTAATCCGTTAGAACCACCCTGATCGCAACGCGGAGTGGCTGGTCGCCATGGCTCCGTTCTGGGAATTCCGCGTTCACTCCGAGCCCAACCCGCACCCGCAGCTCGGCAGAAAGCCCCGACCCAGCGCGCTTCTCATCCCCGAACCCGTCGACCCTCCGCCCACCCCACGCCCCCTCGCCTCCCAACTCCCGCGCCCCTCCGCGCCGCTCCCGAAAATCCGCACCGAACCGCTGTGGCTCAATCAGCCGCCAGTTTTCTTCTCCAGCCATCCAATCGCGCCCATCGCCGAGCCCGCCGCCTCGTCGCTTCTGCCGTCTCTTGCGCCACCTCCGGCTCCGCGCCCTCCGCAGGCGCGGAAGCCGCGTCAGCGCCCGCCGCGGCAGCCGAAACTCTGGGACCTCATTCCCGAGCTCCCCCCTGCGCCACGCCCCTACAAGGTCCCCCAACCGTCCAGCGGCGACGTCCCTTCCCCCGCGCTCGTACATACTCACGGCCAGCCGTTTGCGCCGCCGTTCTGGCAGCCGGCCCCGCGGAATCCTAGCCGGCAGGTGTCAATCGGTTTCCCGACAGCGGGCGCTGGCGGCGTTATAGATCTGTCGACGTGGGGCTCCGCCAACACCGCTGCGCTCGGGGTAGGAACAGTGCGGAGGGGGGAAAGGCCGGGAGAAATCCCGCAGATTCGAGTGAATTCCAGCGCGGGCGCGAATCGGGAAAAGCGGGACACGCGGCAGCTTCGGAACCCCGCCGAATCGAAATCCGCCCAGGTCTCGCAGACTAGAGTTCCGCTGGTGTCGCAGTCGCGCGAGGGGTCGACAACGTCGTCAGCCGCGGCGCCAATCGCGGCGCCAGAGGCATCCGGGGGGTGCGCCGCTGCTTCCAGCGTTCCCGTTAAGGTGCGTTCATGTGTGCCTTTCTCTCTGTCTCGCGTGGGTGTCCGTGGACGGCAGAATGTCATGAGAGGGGAATGGGGAGGGAGGGAGGGAGAGAGGGAGGGAGGGACAGGGGGAGGGAGGGAGGAAGGGAGGGACAGGGGGAGGGAGGGAGGAAGGGAGGTAGTGAGGGGGCAGGGGGAGGGTACAGGGAGTAGTGGTTGGAAAGTCTGGTGGGGAAAAGGGACGAGGTTGAGTGCAAGAGTTCGTCTGAGGAAATTGCTTTGCGAAATTCACCTCATACTGAACTCAACTCAACTTCTTCCTTGCTCTCATTGCTCCATTACTCCATTACTCTCTGCAGGAATACACACTCTCCGTTGATGCAACTTCGTTGGATCTCGCACGGGCCAGGCAGCACCGAGACTCGTGCACCTGCTCAGTTGACTATGCCTCCCTCTGGGGTTCATTACTCTCTGCTGCTGCAGAAGTTGCAGTGGTGGTTGGCGATGTTGCCTCGCTCATCGCACCTCAGTCACCCACGCCTCTTACACTAACAAGCAGTGCTGGAAATCCTCCTCCTGCATCTGCTATAAGACCCACTGTGAGCATTGCGACTCTAACTGGGAAGGGTGTAGGGCTGCTGCAAGATAGCAGTCCTTCGTCGGTCCTCCAAAATCCCGTGTCCGATACCTCATCGGAGCTTAGCCCTGACATATGAAACGGTTTCTACCTCTGCTCGTTTTTTTATACCATGTCTAACTCAATTTTCCGCAATAAATATGAAATTGAGTTCTGTGGAACTCTGGAGAGCTTCAGCTGCTTGAAATCATACTACCGTATCACCCCGGATAAAAGCGCAGGTGCGCTTATAATAAAACAGTGTTTTTTAGGGGGGTGCGCTTGTAATTGAGTCATTTGCATAAGCGCATGCGCTTATATTATGACATTGAATTGTAATTTTAAGACACCAAATTGTATATTTCACTCTTGCCATTTCAACCAAGTCGTTTTTTTTTCCCGTCACAAAGCAGAACGCGTGCAAGCGATTCTCTTCCAGCACAGAGGGACCAAGATGCGAGAATTTGCAGTCATGCCAGCACATCCTGACTAAACGCGCAGCCAGTCATGTCTTCGAGAGTCAAGCTAGGCGAAAATGAGATTGTACTCGCTTCGAAATTGAAACTCGCTAAAGTTTTAAACAGAAATTTTGATTTAAAATTGTACATGCGCTTATAAAAAGTAATGTTTTCACAGGGGGTGCGCTTATAATTGAGGATCGGCCATAAGCGCATTGCTCCAGATAGAAGCGCACGCCCTTATCATAGGCCTGCGCTTCTATCCGGGGTGATACGGTAATGTTAATTCAGAAAGGAGCTCACCATAAATATTAATTTTGTATCGAGATTTGGGACTTCCGAGGCAAAGAGGTCAGGAAATCAGCCACGATCGGAGTTACGTTACGTAACTGGTCCGTAGTTTTTTGCTTTGAGGGAAGGTGAGCTGGTTTGAGAGACATTGCAATAGTCACCACTCTTGACACGCCACGTGTCCTCAATATTCCACTCTCGAGCACGCGCCCAGCATCTTGGGCTAGCCAAGTGACACTTTCTGAGAGAATGACTGCAGTGGCCAATAAGGTGATTCACCATCCCTCGCGTGACCACGAATTACTCGAGTGGCCACCAAATTTGGTGATAATGACTCGAGTGGCCACGCCAGAGGATTCTTCCTGGCTTTTTTTTCTTCGGCGCATTACCCTACGGGGCTTTGTAGTCCCGAAATTCCCCATTCGTGCGAGCGGTATCCTTAGGTAGTGTTCCGTTCTGTTTTGCACCCGAAAATTTCGCCAGGCTCACGGACGCGAAAGTGGCCCGCTCACTGTACATTGACCAACAGTACATTGACCGGTCAGTTTCGGCCAAATGCTCGACCAATGAGCGCGCGGTCAATATAATTCACATCCAATCAGCGAACGAGCATATTGTTGAGAATATGTTTGTATGCTTTTATTATAAGTGCACTGTTCGAAGTGTGCTTACAAGGGCTCGCCATAGCGAGGGATTTGAACCTGATGGCGAGTCAACGGGCCGCAACCGAGCACAGCGGTTGCGACCCGCGTGGCAGCTCAAGAGTCGAATCGACAGCAAGAGTCATCGTCTACAGTACGCGAAACTGACCTATGGGGCGCGGCAGGATACCGCGCCCTTGACGAAGCTGAAAAGTCTCGCCAGCGCGACTGTAACAAGGCAACCCAAGCGACGCAGCGCAACTGTTATACAGTTGCGCCTTGGTAACTGTTTGCCCTATGCATTTGCTATATAACAGAATGTAATGCCTTGCTCATATTACACAATTCTCAAGCTTGTGTCCGGCCTACCCTCGGCCGCTGCTTTGGCACCACGTTACAAGCCAGGAGAGCTACCTCTGAGTGACCAATAGCCCCGCCGTAGGGACGTCGTTAATTCCTAGAGCTTCCGCTGCGCTCTAGCGACTTCTTATTTCCAACATGGTATCACGAGCAAGAGTTCCAATCCTTGGAACCTGTGATAATTTCTACAAATGGGCCCACCACCTGAATCATCACCAGGAGCATCTTCAGGAGCAGGTTCGACCTGCCACTTCCCACGGAGCATTACGTGGAGGAAATCTTCAACGCACCGTCGCATCATTTTGGGCGACTCAGCAAGACGAATTTCAAGGAGTTATAGCAAAGTCCCTGGCAAGGACTTCACAAATTCAACCCGGCAAGATTGCAGCTCTCCTCGTTTCTACACTTCTAACAGTGGAGGGGAGTGTTGAGAATATGTTTGTATGCTTTTATTATAAGTGCACTGTTCGAAGTGTGCATACGGTTGCGACCCGCGTGGCAGCTCAAGAGTCGAAACGACACCAGGAGTCATCGTCTACAGTACGCGAAACTGACCTGTGGGGCGCGGCAGGATACCGCGCCCTTGCCGAAGC